AATTCAAACACGTGCATTCACTAAAAATAACATTTGACATAGTACAAATACCAGATGAAACGTAAATACATTATATAAACAACGGGATATTCCACGTATGCTTCTGACATAATGTAGCTATAAACGACAGATGAAAATCATTTAATAGGATAATAATAATAATAATAATAATAATAATAATAATAATTACGCCTGAGAAATATATTTCCAAGATTAGAAACATGTTAATAGAATTGTTTTATACTTTCATTTGGCTGATAGCCCCGTATGGTACAACATAAACAACAACGACAATACTACTTATAATAATAATCATTATTATTATTAATTACTAGCAGCCATATCAAGTTGGTCGATGAGAAAAAGCACTTTGAGTAAAAATCATTTTGAATAAATGCAGTTACTTATATAACAGAAGTAGTCTGTATTTATCCAATCGAAGTTAGCCAAGGACATGAAGGGGTAAAACAGGTAACATGAAGACCCACAACAAACCATAATTATTTTGCAGTTTTTGATATTCATTTTGTCAGTGTGCTACCAGAGACCTAAAAGATGATACATTTATAAAGCAGTTGTTAAATCTGATGAAAATTGTTTGAAAATCAACGAAAAATAAGAAGGAAACTAATAAAAATTGCCATTTTTCGCTATTTACGCGGGTTTTCACTATATGGGAGGACTCAATTAACAAGTTAAATGACTGTTACACAACCAATTTATTGTTAACTACAATTGAGTGAATGTTGTATTAAATTGCTTGAAAATTGAGGGGGGTCTTAGGTTTAAATTTGTGTTGAAATCGATTTCTGTTAAAATCGATGTTTCGTTTTGAGCGTTTTTTTTCTCTAAACACTGTGGCGTAGATATAAAAATGAGGTATCGATAAGCTCGACATGATGTGAGTAACCTACATATCGAGTTTGAACGAAATTGGAAAAAGAAAACTTTTAATTTACCGATTTTGATCGGGTTTATCCATTATTGATTTTTTAAAATTATCGATTTTTTTAAACTAAGAACTTATCTCTTACATTGTACACTGTATGTGCCAAATTTTCTCAAAATGTGTTGGATAGATCTCGAGTGAAAGGTTATCACACAGACAGACAGACAGAAACAGACATGCTCTGTTTTATAGATATTAGATTAATTAACAGTAAAGAGAAGAGATCGATTTAAGCACAGAAAGAGAAAAGAAAAAAGAAACACAATTTGACAATGTTAAACAATATTTAAACTGAATATGTCTCTTCAAGTTATATTGAAAAATCTTTTTCAAGTATAAAAATAAATAAATCTCAAAATTCTTTCTACAAATGTTGCTTGTCGTGTAATGCAAAAACATCCGTCATTTTCTTTGTTTGAATTTCCCTCTTAACTGTTGAAAAATGTTGGAAGATTTACGTCAAACATTTTGTTAATTAATAATTAATTTATTATCGTTATTATTATTTCTCTCTTTTCGAATTTCTTTCATTAAAAAAAATATACATATTATCTGTCAGTAGCATGACTCGCACTTTCATATACAACGCAATCTTCAGGTGCTGAATATAGAAGAGCGAATAAAAATACTTTGTTATTGCAATATAAATATATAGGGTGACTCCAAAAAACGGGAACTTTTAACAATCCAATAAAACCAAGAGTGATGGAAGAAATATATTTTATTCATAGTAATTGAAACTTTAAAACATGCCATTTAAGAAACAATGATGGAATTTTCGTTTAAAAATTACGTCATGGAGATGGCGTCCTCCTGTACGAATGCATTTTTGAAATCCGCAGTTAAGATTCCTCATTGACTGCTCCAACATCTCAGCTGGGATACTATAAATTTCATCTTGAAATTTAAATGGCGAAATGTTTACTTCCTCAAGCTCACTGTCTAGCAGTGTTGCCACTTGCTCATGTCTGACAATACGAACTTAAAAAATTCCTGTTTTTTTCCATCACTCTGTATATACATGTGTGTGTGCGTGTGTTTGTGTGTGCTATCATTGTGTGTGGCAGATTCGCCTACGTAATTAATTATATCAATATAAAAAATTGCATTTCAAAAAACATATTGGTAATCTCAGGACCTGGTTTGCAATAGAGTTCATAAAAGCTATCCTTATAAGAAATATAGGTGATATTTTTTGAGAATTAGTATGTAACACCATTTAAGAATAAATCTGCTAGAGAAAGCGATTGAACACAAGGTCATACGCCACAGGAATATATTTAACTTTAATAAATTTATCTCCAGGCAGTTCAAAAGGTTTTGAAAAGATGCATCATACATGGTTACCATCTGAATGCTCCAGCGATGAAAAACTTTTTCTGTTATCAATTCACTCCTAACTGGTAGGTCCGTCAAGGTCATTGTTAATGGTCAGTTTTCTGAAGCTCATGAGATCAATGTAGACGTTCCTCAAGGTCCTCTTCACGGTTCTACCCAATTTCTGTATTACTGCTAGCCATATACTCAGATCTTTAGTAAATATCTGTGTAGATGATACAGCGATGTATAAAAGAATCTAGATGACCAGGTAATTTTACTTCGGTCCTTACTCTATTCAAGGGATTAAAACAGGCTTGTAACATTCAAAAGATCCCAAATCAAACTAAACGTTTTCTCATCACCGAACAGACCTTGAAAATGTCCAATATATCAGGTCATCCCATAATTTCTGTCCGAATTTTGAATAAAGAAAACAAGTGACCAAATGTCACATTTAATTACAGATTCAATCAACAATGTATTTTCCCTGATTATCTATGACTCCCTTCCATCTATTAACAAGCTTACCATTACGGTAAAAAAAATTTTGCCTGTGATTCGAAGAACTCACAAATGTCAGTTTTAACCTCTTCCTGTATTACAAAAGCTGTTTCTTCCAAATGATTCTGTAAGCTACGAAACAAATGGTCGTCTGAAGGAGCAAGATCGGGAGAATAAGGTGGATGAGGAATTTTCTTCCAACCAAGTTCTTCGATCTTTTCTGACTTGATTATCGCTGTGTGGGGTCGCGCATTGTCCTGATGAAACATCACCTCTTTTCGATTCATTAGAGCAGGTCTTTCTTTCCTCAAAGTTTGGTTCAAACGCTCTAAATGCTGACAGTATATTTGAGCATTAATTGTTGCATTAGGTGGTAAGAATTCAAAGTGGATTATTCCTAGGCGATCCCACCAGATTGAAAGAAGAAACTTTTGCCCATGAAGTTCCCTTCTCGGCTGTGGCTGGGGTCCTTCTCCTTTAACAAACCACTGTCTAAGACGCTTAAAATTTCGATAAAAGATCCATTTTTCGTTGCCAGTCACAAGTCTATCCAAAAAAGGTGAAACAAGTTGGCGAGAATGGAGAGAAGTGCTGATGTCAACTCGGGATTTGAGGTTGGTTTCAGACAATTCAGTAGGCACCCATTTTCCAAGTTTAGGAACTTTTCCAAGTTGTTGAAGATGGTGATGAACAGTTGTATGGTTTGATCTGAGAACCACTGCCAATTCCTCAACTGATAAAGCAGGATTTTCTTCAAGGGCTGCTTCAAGAAGCTTTTCATCAAACTCAACTGGACGTCCGGTTCGATCATCATCTTCAAGGGTGAAATCTCTACCTCTGAATTTTGCAAACCATCTTCTGCAAGTTCCTTCATTCACACATTTTTTCCCATAAACTAAGTGAAGGTTTCTAGCCACTTCGGTTGCTGTGTTTCCTTTCTTGAACTCATAACGCATTATGTGCCTCAAATGTTTCTTGCGTTCTTCCATATTAGCAGGGTTTTAATCAAACAAATTTTAATTTTATTGTTCTCTGAAATAAAATATGATTAGTTTAAATGCATCCAAACAAAAAAAAATTCAGCTCCATTAGACATTATAAAATACTCTTTAAATTTCGTTCATTTTAACAAAAAGTCAAAATTCGGACAGAACTTATGGGATGATCTGATACTTAAATAATTGATTTTATGATTTTGGTTATAGATAAAAGAGACTTGTTATTGCAAAAAATATGGTTTTGTTAATGTTTATTTTATTTGGGGCTTAACATTTCTGGTAGCAGGTTTTATAGGCTACTAAATAACTTCTTTTTTGCGCACTCAAGATGATCTATCACAACTTTCATTGCATGTGATCTAACGAGCTATTTCGTTATTCTCATCACCCTTGACCTTTACAACTGGGAACAATCACGAACACAAATGTGACTTATCGCCATTCCTATCCTATGAATGAATTCCGTCTGGACAGATTATCCCGAATGAATTCCGTCTGGACAGATTATCCTATAATGAATTCCGTCTGGACAGATTATCCCGAAGAACAGCTGCTTTGTGAAACGAATCCCGGCAATCATTATAAACATTTCCTTTTCATATTCTAGAGTAAAATGATATATTAAACTAATAAACCACTTCTAGCCTTTTCTTACGCTCATACAATACTACACAATAATCCTCTAAGTTGAGTGGCTCTTGGGCCATGCATTGGATAAAAATTAGTATTAAGTAATAAGTAGCTGTTGTTTCCCCACAAACTGGAATCATGTGTCGAGTTCAGTTCAGAGTCCTTGGACTGGTATCAATTCATCTGTTCACAGATCAGTGAAATTTAAAACCAAGGAAGACTTAGTTTGGTGGTTTTGATTTTGTATCATCAATCACTTTCTTAGATAGATGATGAAAAATGGTTTCGAGCGAGTAAAATGTGCAGGTCGCAGAAAAGACAATCCTTCATCGAACCATATTTTATTGATTGAATCGATTTCTTCTGCCTATCAACCAGTTACAGTTAATTTAAAACCATAAAATATTTTTAGATTGTAAAAATATTTCTGAGATAATAATAGTTTATTGATAAACGTATCACTAATTAGCCTATAGCTGGAAGGAGAAGATGTGAATTCATAGTTTTCGCGATTGAGTCAAATGAACACAACAGGAATTGGAACTCGGCTCTCCGATTAAAACATTTGAGCCATTATCCATTACACAGCCCGATCGTTCATGCTTACAGCACCTGGCATACACAAACGTTTATCAATCTACGTACTGGCCAGGCTCTATGTTGCTTAACTTCGGTGATCGTACGGGAATCGGTGTTTCAACGAGATGTGGCTGAAAGCCCTTCATCAAATCTCGTGATTTGAGTTGAGATTACAGAAACCAAATCATTTGAAGAATTTCAAGAGCAGCAAGAAATCAAAAGGATATTATATGTAACACGAAGAGAGGTTAACAGCAGTTAAGATTCCCTTCAAAACCAAAGGCAAACAAGAAAGTCTGCATCAATACTGGAGAATTCATTGACAGCGTTGTACTTGAAAAATCTATCTTCCAGAAAGATTCTTTCACGAGAAACATTTTATAAACTTCGACCGACAGCAAATCTAAATGCTCAATTAATTAACGATGAATGTTGCCTTATAAACGAACGGCTAATTGGAATAAGCATAAGATAAATGAAGACAGAACGCATGGTCATCAGTAAGAGGATGACCCCGAAATGCGATTTGAAGGTCAGGAACGCTAGAATGAAGCAAACGCGGAAATTTAAATATTTGGAAAGCATCTTGACAGAAAACAGTAAGCACGACACTGAGATCTATATACGTAGTACATTTCCTCCTCCCACCCTATATGGGTAAATAGCAGAACAGACAGTGTTCTATAGTCTTGGATAGTAACTGGTCTACCGCTTAAAGAAATGGCAACATAATGCGGGAAAAATAAAATCTGCCTCTTCAGTCACGTATAGAAAGATATACGTAATGGGATGGCCAAGGACACATCCCAAAACTTGTGCAGATTACTGCGAGACAGGAGGATTTCATAGATAATAAAGAAAAGAATCTAAGCTGTTACGCCTTTCTCATGTTAGGTATGGCCCCAAGGCAGCGGAGGTATAAAATCATTTTTCATTCTCTTAGATTAACTATCATTCTGGGTTGGCATATTTGATGAATTACGATGAGTAGTGTGCCTAATTCCTTCTCCCTTGTTCTGCTACAATGTAAATCACATTATGGGCACCTCAATATGGAGTAATGATTAGCAAGGTTGTCTTGCTAGAACAGTTACGAATCATTATGACCAAGAACACATTCCAAAAAGCTGAGAAGAGTATTCCGAAACGGGGGGATTTCTTTGGTAACAAAGAAAAGCATACTGTGCTCTTATGTGACATCTGTCCTTCTTTACGACAGCGAATGTTGGACGATTTCCTCAACGATGAAGAAGAGACTCGAGGCGATGGAGATGTGTTTCTACAGAAGTTTGCTGAGGACATCATGGGCCGATCGTTTGAGCAACGATAAGCTGTTAGAGAGGTTGCAAACAAGGAGGCTTATACTTAACATCAGGTACAGGCAGATGAAATTTCAGGGACCTATAATGAGAAAGGAGGGCCTGGAGATTCTGATACTCAATAGAATAGAGGGAAAGAGAGACAAGTGAAAACAACGCGTGATATATCTGACGGAGTTAAGCAAGTAGATGACAGAACGTGGTCTGGGGAAGGAAGCAGAGGAAAGGAAGTTGTTGAGAGCTGCCAGGGATAGAGTAGGGTGGAGAGACATGATCGTCTACGTCCTGTAAGGATATGGCAATTAAAAGGAAACGAATATTACCGTTAACATTCTATTAAGAAGGACACCATTGAATTCAAAACCGGATGGGCATCGTAGTAAAACCTTTGTAGAGGACAGGGTGGGTTTGCGTGTTGTTCTATTAGAAACACGTGTGTAAATCCTGGTAGAATATTTAATGGTCCAACTACAAGAAAATTGCCGGACTCAAGTTAAGTCCAACTGAAGATGTAAAGAAGTCAAAGAAAAACGATATATATATATATATATATATATAAACAAATATATGTATTAAACAACGCAATTTTACATAGACAATAGCATTTGGGTGGGTGTGAACATTTGTGTCTATTCTTTGGTGAATTTTCATATGTTGGTGAATGTCAGTACGTACGTGTATGTGTGTTTAATATCCACGACGTCTTCCACAGATGGGAAGACGCAGATCTTCTAAGAGAGCTTACATTGTAGTCGCTGAAATAAAGAATTTAAAAAAGGACGAGGCGAGAAGTCGTCCAGTATTTATAGTATAAGGAGAATGACCCATAGTGACAATTTGAGAATTAAGCAGGCGCTAACTCCGACACTTTCACTCCGTTTAAATCTCGCTGCTAGAGAAACACCACCTGCAGAGGGCGTAGCCAGTTCATCCCAGTAGCCTCTATAGATTTATTTGGTTGTATATTGTTTTCCACACTCATATACAACGCTCTTTGTACTGGACCACAACTATTAATTTGGGTTTATTTCTGAAAAGAAAAGGCGATTTTACATATATTCGGTCTTTGAAATGTTTTTTTCAGCAAAGGAATTAGTCAGGTTTGCACACTGTGAAAATGCTTCGCTTTGCATAAATATACTAATTAGAATAAATGTTGTCATTATGATTCATCCCAAATCACATCCTTTTGTCGAAGAACTTAAAATAATTGTCTGTATTTATCTTGACAACAACTCCAAAATGAAAAGTGTAGATAATTTCACTAACTACAATTCCAGTTTAAAAAAGGCACCACTTCCTTTCTGATGTCGTGTAAAATGGATCAAAATGTATTTTTTATGAGGGCACCATAATCTAGCCCTGTAATTAGGTCAATCCAATGAACCGCTACACCAGTATATATTCTTCTATAAAAAATGAGTTCATGTAATTTTCCTCCTATATATGACAACGGCTTTTTAGCCGCGTGCAACATTCTATTATCCATTGCAGTGCTAGGGTGTAACGACGTCAAACGTATGGACACTTCATCAAAGAACAACACGCCGTAGTGCTCTTTGTGTGGAAACCCAATTCTGGGTGTCGGCGCAGAATGAAGTACTATGAATCAACGAAAGGTGTATAAGGGAGTAGAAAGCTTTTAACGGGAAGTATTAACGGACTTAAGCTGATCTGTTCACCCATCAACATCACATACATAAGAATATATTCAGAGGCACGATGCCTTTTTGATCAGAGAACACGGACGAATCTCGTTGTCGCAAGCGGTGTCAGTACTGGTCATAGTCCCGTAACTTGGTGTACCGTAAAATTTGTCTGCATTGGTTGCCTAAACAGCATACAGATAACCATATGCAGCAGCATGTAGATGTTGCAGGCAGGTTCTTTCAAAGCTACGAAGATCCCAGTACCTTGAATCAAATCCTGACATGTGACGGGATATAGGGCTAACACTACGACCCCGACATCAAGTGGCAAAGCATTGAGTGGAAACGTCAATCGTCTCCTATTCGCAAGGAATTCAAGAAGCAGCCGTCCTGCAATAAACTGGCCAATTCTGATGGCGTTCCAGATATACGGTGAGATTATGCAGCCTACTGTGCTTTGTCGTAAGACGGACTGTATCCCAAAGTTTGTCCCAAATGATGGGGATTGCTGTCGGAGGGGTTGCTACACCTCCACAAATTTTGCAATGGAGTTTATTCGAATTGATTCCGCCTACACTTTCTACAGGGATCTGACGCCATCGTTTTTTTTTTCGGCACCTTAAATGAAACGCTACGCAGTCGCAGGTTCAACAAGGATATGTCTTCGTAAAAAACTGAAACGTATCTTTTTGGAAGATTGATTTGAAGTTCATGATGGATCTGGGTCGCTGTGCATGCGATTACATGGATATATAGAATGTGAATTAGTAAGTATAAAAGTGTTGTGTGGTGATTCCATTTAAATTTTTATTTTCCTTCGTATTTTCTCGTTCATACGCCAGCTAGCGTTAGTGATCTAAAAAAATAATCAAGTAAATTACATGAAAATAGTCAAAATTAAATTTAAGAATAGAAACACTTGATTTAGACTACTTAGACAAGATTCATATAAAAAGAGAGATTTACTGAGTCTGTATTTCCCATTTACTTTTAATTATAGCAATTATCATGTCTTATTTTATCACATAGATTTTAAGAAAATAGCAAATTTAGAAGACAAATAAATGACACAAGTTTTTACGAAAGATAAAAATGTATAAATTATTGCTACAGTAATTATTTTTAGCAAATGATTGGAATTGGTTTTGAGCTGAAAAAAATTAATATTATGTTTCAAGACCTTTCAGGAAGAGAGCGATAATATCTTTCTAAAATCGACTTGAATATTCTATTGTAATATATGTTGACATTTGCAGTTTTATCGATCCTGACGGACATTTCAAATTAAGTCTCTTTCCCACGACTATCACGTAGCTTTCTTTTTGTATAGTTATTTTCATGGCAATTTTTCTGATGAATGTTTCTCTTTGGTTTATCGGTCTTATGAATTTATGCGTACTATTGGAGGCTTGGGGGCACGGTGTTGGTATAGATATCGGCTCGCGTTGAAGAATCGGAAATCCTTATTCGAATTCCAGTTGAATCCATTACGTTCGCTTGCGTGCTATTACCGTTGAGAATGGTATGAATCCTTTTCCTCTTCCCATCCGATATGGGTAAATAGCAGAACAGACAGGGTTCTATAGTATTGGATAGTAAGTGGTCTACCGCATAAAGAAATGTCAACATAATGGGGAGAAAAATAAAATCTGCCTCCTTAGTCATGTATAGAAAGATACATGATCGCCTAAACGTGTATCATGCATGGTGCATAACTTACTGATTGATTAGCACATTGTTTTCATTGTTTTACTGTTGAAATAGATCTAAACTTTAAGGTTAGGTCTGTTTCGATAGGAGAACAATGAGAACATTATAATAACTTCTTTTTCTCGAAATATCGGAGTTCCTTCCGAATTATTCTTTTTTTTTTTTGATTACCGCATAAAATTAAATGCAACGTCATTCGACATCGTCTATTTTCCTGAATTATTTTCTTCTATTCCATTCTTCTTTCTACCCCCGGCTTTCTCTTTTCTTTTGTTATCATGAGAAGTCATGAGAAATACGAAGGAAAACGCGTAAGGCTAGATTGGCAAATAGGCTTCATAGTTTTATTGTTGAAATAGCAAAATCTAACCATTCTCTTATAATAGTTTCTTTTGTCGCACTTCTCACCTGTGGAACTCTCTTCCGATTTCTTGATTCTGTGCCATTTACAATC